ATAACAACTAACATATATTGCATCAAAGAGCACACAACGACAGGTATTATAGCACATGAGACAACATATTGCATAAAAAGGTACATTTATATAATAGACCCACAACAAAAACATATTGCAACAAATGTACACGCGACAAAATGTTATTGTGTTTGTTGCATCAAAAATATGTACTGCAACAAACACAATATCGCAACACAAGAATATACATTGCATCCAAAAAATATATGCAATAAAGAATGCAACTTAAAACTGTAGCCAACAAGGAAACACGAATAGAAATATAGAGATAAAACAAGAGAATAGAAGAGAATAGAAGTGTGAAGTGTAGTGAAGATGTGACCAGAGGGACGGAGTATTGAGATGGTATAAAGTGTTGCTTAAATTACATTGAAGTTGTTTACATTGGATAGAATTTACAGTCCTGGCCTAGTGGGGGTGGTCGCCTGGACGAACACACAACACCTGGACGGGCACACAACACCTGGACGAACACACAACACCTGGACGAACACACAACACCTGGACGAACACACAACACCTGGACGGACACACAACACCTGGACGAACACACAACACCTGGACGGACACACAACACCTGGACGAACACACAACACCTGGACGAACACACAACACCTAGACGAACACAACACCTGGACGGCACACAACACCTGGACGGACACACAACACCTGGATGACACACACCTGGACGGACACACAACACCTGGACGGGACACACAACACTGACGAACACACAACAATCGGACGAACACACACCTGACGGACACACACAACACCTGGACGACACACAACACCTGGACGGACACACACAACACCTGGACTGGACACACAACACCTGGACGAATACACAACACCTGGACGAACACACAACACCTGGACGGACACACAACACCTGATGAACACACACAACACCTGGACGAACACACACAACACCTACGAACACACACACCTGACGACACACACCTGACGGACACACAACACTCTGGATGAACACACAACACCTGGACGGACACACAACACCTGGACGAACACACAAACACCTGGACGGACACACAACACCTGGACGAACACACAACACCTGGACGAACACACAACACCTGGACGAACACACAACACCTGGACGAACACACAACACCTGGACGGGTACACAACACCTGGACGAACACACAACACCTGGACGAACACACAACACCTGGACGGGTACACAACACCTGGACGAACACACAACATCTAGACGGACACAGAAAGCAAGGAAGGAGTTTATTTATTAACCAGTAAATACCCTGAAAAATGCTATTATATACAAGATGCCATTTTGCAAAACCTTTTATGTCATTTTGCTTCATAATACTCATACTATAAATGGACAATATATCCCTCAACACCTTGTGTAGGTTAATAAAATTACCCCAAAAAGTATATTACATTTTCAAGTTGGTGAAATTTTGTGAAGACATGAGAAATAACGTCTGGTAAAACCTTTGAGAAGTAGAATGTAACTTTAGTTTGACTTGTGATTCATTTCCAAGTTTTGTGATTCTGTAGGTAAACAATCTCTCGTCTCTCGTACCAACCACAAGAAACTCATCCCAAAGTCTATATGACCTTATAGAGAAAAAAAATAGACTGAATTATTATTACACATCAAACAGAAAATATTATTAACGTTTACTGAAAGATTAATAGATGGAAAGACGACAGCCAATAGATGTCAGCAAATTGATTCTTGAGTCAATGAAGTAAAACTCAATGTAACTTATATTTACAGTAGGGGATTAACTATATCCTGGTTTATTAAAACAGGTGTTTACTCTAGACACTGATGGATTATAGAGTAAGTTACTGAATATACCGAAGATTTATAATGACACCTCTTTACTGGGGACAGAGGAGGCTAGCTCATAATAAATCCTGGGAGACGTCTATAATTCCTGGGTTATAGAAAGACTTAATTTAGAGCGTCAACACCCGACCCTGATAACACTAGTGAAGCCGTCATAGTGGTAGTGTGATTACAAACTCAGTGTAAACAGTGACTAGTATACAACAATGACTAATTCTGTTTACATTGGTGACGGGAAATTGTTTGCATGTGAGAGGGAAGGAAGGAAGGAGGGAGAGGGGGGGTTAGGTTAGGTTAGGTTAGGTTAGGTTAGGTTATCATCTGATGAAAATACAACTGTGGCGCTAATATTCTTTTATTTACACACAACATAACACAAACACGACCAGGAGGTATTAAGTCATTCTGGTGATCATTTTACTCCACCTAAACCACTGACTGAGAACTACCACTAACACACGGACACGAATACCTCCCTATACCCTCACTAAACGCTCCCTTAAACCTCCCTTAAACATCCCTCAACCCTCCCTTAACCCTCCCTTAACCCTCCCTTAACCCTCCCTTAACCCTCCCTTAACCCTCCCTTAAACCTCCCTTAACCCTCCCTTAACCCTCCCTTAACCCTCCCTTAAACCTCCCTTAAACCTCCCTTAAACCTCCCTTAAACCTCCCTTAAACCTCCCTTAACCCTCCCTTAACCCTCTGTAATCAAAGCCCCATTTACTTTTTTGGGAGGGGGGATCTCTGCCTTTGATCTTTTTCTCTCGCCCATCTGACCTTCGGGAGCTACAGAAGAAGGAGGAACACACTGTACTCAGTCACTCGGGCCAAGTATCTGAAGTCTTCTATCCTCCACCGTGACATAGCGCCAGGATGCTCCTTCAACGCCTTTATCTTTCGCTCTAGGAATTCATTCATAGCCGGTGCGGTGGACAAGTGGATACATCACACTCACCTCACGTCCTAAAGGTAGTTGGTTCGCATCTATGGTAGCTTTAGTTTCACCCTAATGTAAATAGGTACATAGTTTTATAGCTTGGAGATGTGAAGGGTATTGAGTATAGCTAACCTAACCTAACCAAACCTAACCAAACCTAACCTAACCTAATCTAATGTAACCCAGAGAGAGACGATAAAAAGATACGAACATTTAAGAAAACTCTGAACCTGACGGGGCCTTTAAAAGCTTCCTTCCCTCTCGTTAATTAGTCCAAGTCCTTCACGGGGCCGCCAGCCAAAACTTACGCCCAACTTAAGCAACAACGGAATAATGAACTAGAATGTTTAATATGAAGAGTCTGACCCTTATCATCCTGACCCTTATCCTCTTGACCCTTATCCTCCTGACCCTTATCCTCTTAACGCTTTTCATCCTGACCTTTATCCTCCTGACCCTCGGCCTCCCTGACCCTCAGCCTCCTGACCCTTATCCTCCTGACCCTTATCCTCCTGACCCTTATCCTCTTAACCCTTATCATCCTGACCTTTATCCTCCTGACCCTTATCCTCTTAACCCTTATCATCCTGACCTTTATCCTCCTGACCCTTATCCTCTTAACCCTTATCCTCCTGACCTTTATCCTCCTGACCCTTCACTTGTGAAGGTTAATGCCTCAGCTACTAGAGTAAGGGTTAAAGTTTTCTCTCCTAAATAACAATAAAGAATCACTTGCTCAGGTATTCTAATTAGGAAGCACACGCGGTCACGAGAGGGCAAAGGGGTAAGTGAATTTAAAGCGACTTAAGCTGGGGAGTTGCGTGTAGAGCTGATGGAAGGGGAAGGGAGGGAGAAGGAAGGTTAGAAGGAGGAGGGAAGAGGAAAGAAGGAGGAAGGAGGAGGTAAAGGGTTAGAGAAAGGGAGGAGGGGAGAAGAGATGAGAAGAGGAAGAGGAGAAGGAGGAAGGGAGGGGTTAGAGAAAGGAGGAAGGGGAGAAGGAAGGGGATGAAGAGATGAGGGAAGAGGGAAGAGGAAGAAAGGAAGGGAGGAAGGGGTTAGAGAAGGGAGGAAGGGGAGAAGGAAGGGATGAAGAGATGAGGAGAGAGGAAGAGAGAAGCAGAGGAGAGAGGAAGGAAGAGCACACAACAGTAAAGGAAGAATGTAATATGACGTGACTACACCTCCTTAGCACACCCTCCCCCCTCCCTCCCCCTCCCACCACAACACAGGGGCACGTACAGTATAAAGTCTCTCTCTCTCTCTCTCTCTCTCTTCTCTCTCTCTCTTTAATTTTATCTTGTTTTTCTCAAGTCTCTCTCTCTCTCTCTCTCTCTCTCTCTCTCTCTCTCTCTCTCTCCCTCTCTCTCTCTCTCTTTAATTATTGTTCTTCTTTTCTTATTCTTGTTTTTCTCAAGTGTTCCCCTTTCTCTCTCTCTCTTAATTCTCTTATTTCTCAAATTTGTTCTCTTCTTCAGGTTAGGTTAGATACAATACCTCATTACCCCTTATGGTTCTCTTTAGTTATGAATCCTTTCGAATATTTCTTACAACAAACCAATAAGTTATATTAATACAACTGGCTACCACATAGGAGATTCGAACCCTTGAACCTCGAACTACCAATCTGAGTACCATAAACCACTCCACCACCGCACAGGCCCTCAACGGGATGGGTGGGTGGGTGGGTGGGTGGGTGGGTGGGTGGGTGAAGGAGGAAGGAGAGGATGGTATAAAGGAGGAGGAAGGAGAAGGTATGGGAGAAGGACAGAGGAGGAGGAGAGGGCAGGGGGAGAACAGGGGGAGAACAGGGGGGAACAGGGAGGGAGGGTACAAGCCTATAAAACGATGGCCATAGCCTGGATTACATGAACTGGAATCGACATCCATTATAATATCACAGCAGAGTATTACCTGTGTGTGTGTGTGTGTGTGTGTCCGTCCCAGTAAATGCTCTTGTTGTGTGTGTATTTTCAGCACCGTGTAGCATTTACATTAAAAGATGTTTTGTTGATTCTACCTGAAGCTTTACAGTATCTTAAGCTTCTTCTATAACTACCTGAAGCTTGAACCTGATATAATAGTCCATAAGGTATCGACAATGGATGCTTACATTCGACTCGCCTTCTATTATGACTTTTGCGTGAGATAAGATAGAGGGGGGGTGGGGTAAGATAGTGCTAAATAAGGAGAACTTACCTGGCATAAGTGTTCCATGGTTGACTCGACAGGCCAAACTAACGGGAGTACCAGCCTTGACGTATAGCTCCTTACTTCCCACAATCTCTGCTCGCATCTCTGAAGAATAGGACGAGAGTTTGCATTTTATTTTTTTACAGTTTAAGATATCACTTCAATGGTTAGGTGAGGTGATATATTTGAACACACACACACACACACACACACACACACACACACACACACACACACACACACACACACATAATGACTATATAATGATCACAGCATGGTCAACAGCTGGTACATTTCACGATGATATTAAAACCAGAATTCAAAGGGTTTATTGACTATGAATTTACATAGAATAACTGCGTTCACATATCCGGGGCAAACAGCGGCCCGAGGCGAGTGACCTGACGCTCCTGGCTGGCAACACTCGTACAAATAATTGGAAACTGAACGGGGCCTTAGTAATCACGGCTATATATCACGTACATAGATGCTTTACCTGTTAATTGAATGGTATTAACCTGTGAGAGAATGTGTATTTAACTGTGTTTATATTACCTGGTTGGTTTGTTATGATGGTACTTAGTCATACAGGCAGATATGAGAGGTCAGAGGTTATGTATTGATTACTATACCATGACCAAGTTATGTGGGGGATGGTGATGGTGGTGGTGATGGTGGTGATATGGTGAAACTGCCACATATCTTTATTTTTGATGATGATGATGATGATCGTGGCACCGTCTCTTAAAACAGAAAGATAATTTGTCCTGACGTAGTGCATAGAGACACCTGACACCTGTTACTGTATCTCACCTGTAATTAGACAACAGGTATACTAACAAGGTATGAAGGTCAGCGACATAAGGACAGGAGACGAACAGAAAGTGAATGAGGTTCGGATACTTACTGACTACGTTGAGGTGAACTACTTGTGATATCCGAGGTTCTGTGTTGATTTGGCAGATGTAGGTACCGGCGTCTTCTGTCTTGATGGATTTGATCTGTAAGGTGTAGTCCTCAGGCTCCCACACGCCCTCGATGTAGTTAGGGCCGGGTTGAGCTCCCTTGTTCTCTATGCCCTGGGCGAAAGGTCCCTGTGGGTATATGGCGATGGGGCTGTTATACTGGGCGTAGGCTTGAGGCTCTGCAGTCTTAATCTGGTCGTCGGAGGAGTGTGCTCGACCAGCGTACTGCAGTAGGTTGGAGAAGGTTTCCAGACCTTTCTTAGTGTTGTGGTGGTGGTACTCGGTGTTCCAGTGTTTGAAGATGTCCTGTTCTCTGCGGCCACGTCGTTTCCTTCTGTTGGGTACTGACCTGACGCCAGACTGTCCGCTCCTCCTGTACGACTCTAAGTCCTTCTCATTCTGTTTCTTAATATATCTTCTCCGTCGACTGTTGTACAGATATAATTTATGAATGTTCTTAGCTCGACTCACATCTGGAGTCTTAGTTGTTGTATCTCGGTGAGTCTGTGTGGTGATGCCAAGGTTGATGAGAAGTTTCCTCTCTGAGTTGACACACATATGAGAATGATGCCCGTGATGACCGCCTCCGCCGTGTGTGCTGTTGGGCATGTCATGTACGCGGCCTCGGCACAGTTGGTGTGACACGTCCCGGGACTTTCGAGACTTGAATTTTGTGGTGCCGGGCAGGACAGCGATCCGCAGGTCGGTGGAGAAGGTTATGCGGCCTGTAGAGAGCACCTGTAGGTCCCGCCCCCTAATCCATGATACCTGTGAGGGAGACAACAGGTGTATATTATCACCTGACCTACACACACACACACACACACACACACACACACACTAACTCCTCACCACACAACAGACGTTAATGCCCACTATCGTAGCCTCGGTCTGCTCTGCCAAAATCCATAAATAACTCACCCATGATCTACCCATGATCTACCCATGACCTCAATAATCTGCCCCCAACATTTTCGTAACTTAAAACAGAAACCCTTTGAACAACAGTCCTCCTGAACGTCATAGATTATAGCAAATCAAAGCTAAGTATCATGGTATGGATTTTACTCTTTTTTCTTCTTCTTCTAACTCGGGTAAAAACACTTAAAACATAGAGACGGAAACGTTTACCCACACACGCAATATTTACAGTCAGTATATCTAGTTACGAGATCCTTTAACCAACCAAGTATATTATGTACACGCACTCACCCTTCCCCCCCCCTACAGTATCTTCACGGAAATCGATAACAATTATTAAAATGAACACTAAAATCTCCTGTTGTCTCTCTTGATATAGTTGTTGTCAAAAATCCTTCATCCGCTGGGTCGTATTAGCTGAAACATAATCGAAAAGAAATTTACTTTTTTGGACCGAGTACCACACTACACTATGTACAGTCGGGGTCAAAAGTCTTGAACACTTAGCAATATCTGACATCTACTTCTGAGTTATATGATTAATATATACTAATAACACTACTTGTCATCATTATATAGTATACCTGAACCACAAAATGGGATAAAACTCTTCATAATTC